GAGGACAGTGTATGTCTAGAAAGCACAATATTGTCCACTTCGAGTAGAAAATTGAGTGTGTGGAGGGACTGTACATAAAATAAAGCTGGGAAAGTACCCTGGTGCTAGATTGCATAAGGCTTTGAATGAGAGGCAATGGAATTTGAAATTTACTTTTTTGGGGGGGGTTGGTTAGGTGACTTGCCCAGGGTCACAGAGCTAGTAAGTGTCAAGTGTCTGAGGTCAGATTCAAACTCAGGTCCTCCTAACTCCTGAGCCAGTGCTCTATCCACTGTGCCACCGAGCTGTCTCTGAAAGATGGTAGTGATTCAATGAGGGCTGAGGAGGCTACATGTGGTTTACTTATGACCAGTTTAGAAAATGATCTAGAAACTTTAGTGATCCAGGATACAGCTGCGTGGCTAAACAAGATAATACTGCATTTCAGGATTGAAAACTTCAGTTTCTTCTTGCCACCTCAGTACTGAAACAGGATGCTAACAACTTGCCCCAAAGGCAGACATGCACTCTGAGCTTCCTGAGCTGTGTAAATAAAACAGCAACCTTGGACAGAGGCAGGAATGGCCTCAGTTCAAACTGCTTCATTTTACATATGAGGAAACTAAGAACAAGAAAGATTAAATGATTGCCCAAGGTCACACAAGGAACCGTTTTACCCCGCTAAGGCTCTCTCTTTCACCTTCAAAGTTCATATGGTTGGTACACAGTTCCAACAAGCCCCACACTCAAATTCAAGTTTACTCTGAGTCTTCATCAATTGCTGTACCCCTCTCTATTGCATTCCAGCTGAGATGTGTAATCTTAACTGCCTACTGCCTGTCTGCAGTTCTCCTGCTGCTAAAATAGTAACACCAACAAGAATATCAAATAGCTATGTCATTTGATACTTAACGACAACCTTGGGAGGTAGGTGCTATTATTATCCTCATTTTACAGTTGAGGAAACTGAGGCAAACAGTCATTAAGTGGCTTTCCCAAGTTCACATAACTGGTATCTGAGGCTAGATTTGAACTCAGGTCTTCCTGACTCTAGGCCCAGTGCTCTATCCACTGCACCTCATACCCTAATATTCATATTGTCTAATACCCTACCCTGCATCACGATGATGATAACTTTTTAGGATCTGCAAATTGCTTTACATGCATTATCTAATTCTATTCTTGTATCTACTCTTTGAGAAAGGTACTATGGGAAGACTTAGTCTCAGAAATATTAAGTGATTTGCCCAGAGTCACACAGCTGTTAAATATCTGAGGAAGGATTCACACCTGGACTTTTTGTCCAAGATTCTCTGCACCATCATGTGCTACCTCTTTGTTACCCAGAGATGAGTGACTGGCCCTTGCCTCTGCACTAGCCCAGGTCACTTTCTGTGCAAAACTCCTGGAAAGAAATAACTTCTATGTAACCTGATTCTGACTCTGAAAGTAACAGCAATATTGTACAATGACCAATTATCAATGACTTAACTATTTTCAGCAATACAATGATCCGATACAATCCTGAAGGACTCATGATGAAAAATGATATCCGCCTCTAGAGAAAGAACTGATGGAGTATCTGTACAGATCAAAGCATACAATTTTTCACTTTATTTTTTTCATAGTTTGTTTTTCTTTTGGTCTGTTTCTTCTTTCACAACATAATTAATATGAAAATATGCTTTACATGATTGCACATATATAACCTATATCAAATTGCTTACTATATTTGGGAGGGGGAGATAATGGAAGGAGGGAGAAAATTTGGAACTCAAAAAAAATTTTTAATGGAATGTTAAAATATTTCCTTACCTGCAGAATGAAAGGTACTTCCTTGTTACCCATACTTTCTGCAGTTTTGTAGACATCTCTGATGACATATTTTTATTGTGGTCTCCTTTATCTCCTGTCAATTTCTGGGCCTCACAACCAATGTTCACCTTCCCACACTATTAGTACTCTCTATAGTGTTTAGCTCTTTCTCTCTCTTCATTCCTTTCCAATTTAAAGTTCTCCTGATTAAAATTTGTAAGATTCCAAACACAAATATATTTTACTGGTCTTTCACAGGTATACTCAATTATTAGAAATTATTATTAATAACTAATATTTTGGGGATCTTTCAAGACTCTTCCCTTTTTCTAAATCCTCATTTTAAAAAGTTCAGCTCTTCTTCAGAAGGACATTACTGATAATGAGATTGCATTGGCTCTTATCCATCTTAGTCAGACCTCACCCAGGGGAGGTCTGCTCAGGCTTGGATGGGGCATACATTCTTTGAATTGATAGTCTAAAGCTATGAATGGTCTGGTACAAAAATACTTTCCCTATCCAAGAGATACTTAGCCCTTCATCACGTTACCCAATTAAATCTGATTGCTGTTTGATGAACAACCTACTGTTTTGAAGTGTATATAAACTGTGAGTCTGGGCTGCCATGATTTTCTTTGGTCTGAGAGATGGCCAAGTGGCCATCCTTTTATTAATAACCTGCTGGCCTTATTAATACATCAATTACCCAGAAACTATGTCTCTTGAATCTTTTTAAATGTCACACAATCCTTTGTCAAGAATTTAGCATTCCTATAATTTAAACCATGGTCCAGAGATCCAAATTCCATCCTCAGAAAACATTTCCTTAAATTCACTGAAGCACAGAGTAGATGAAGGGGAATCAAACAGGATAAATCAGAAAAGATAGGTTGATCCAGACTATGAAGGGATTTAATGCTAAGCTAAGGAGTTTATACTTTAAGTAGACAACAAGAAGGTATAAAAAGTTTTATTTAGTAAAGAAATAATGTAAAATAAGCTGGAAATGGTATGTGTTCACATAGAATCATCTCTGCATTTGTCACCCTTATTAAATAAGTCAAGCTAGAACAAAAAAAAAGGGCAAATAGCTAAGGGTTTACACTCAAACCTTTTTATTGACTGTTTTTGATATCTGCCAAATATAAGCCTCACTTCCTAGAACTGACCTGTAGCTCTACAGTTGTAGATGTAAATGCAGATGGTAGGGAATGTTGGCCTAAATCACTCTGAGATCTAAAATTCTACGGCTTTATGACTTACTTTGTCATAGTATTTCTAGGTATGGTGAAACCTCCACTCAGACTGCTTAGTTATGCAGGTTTGCTTGCCCTTCAGGGGGAGCTAAGATGAAAGGGGTGATAAATATGAAGAGAACCAGGATGGAAATCCCTCTGAGATGTAAATTCTGCCTATGTCTAGATAGGTGCAATTTATACAGTTTAGTCAGATCTTTTTTTGCTGGCGGGAGGCAATGCACAGGTAGATCTAGGGCCTAAGATACTATCTGAAGGGTGAGGAGGGAAACAAAAAGGAGATCTGGAGATTCTTTTTTCATCTGCTTTCTTCGTCAAGGAAAGGGGGATGTTTCCAGGTAGCATTCTGTGAGAAAATTGTGTAACCAATTTGGGTGGGGACAGTTCTAGAAACAACAAACATAAATCAGTGCATGGAGGAGGAAAGGAAACAAGAATCAAATGAGATGAGTTTCTGGCACATGTGTCAAAGAACAACTATTAAGACATTATATGGTTACACATTTTCATTTCCTTATTTTACTCCCTTCCCTCCCAACACATACCTGTTTCCCCATAAAGTTTAGAACTAAAACCCTGGGGGAATAGAGGTGTAGTGGAGAAGGAGCGACTAAAGAAAGATTATTTTGTTCCAGGGAGAGGAGAAAGCCTGCATCTTCTACAAAAGAATAACTAATTACAGAAATGAAGGCAAGAGGTGAGCTGGTGGAAATAAAGAAAATAGAAGGGAATATAAGTTGGCCTAATCCTGAAGCTTGATTATGGAACCAAGTAGAAACTGGCTATAAATGGCAATAAATAAAAAGAAACAGGAAGGAAGAACATGGCATAAATACATCTACCAAGCTAGATATCATTGTTGCTGTTCAGTTAATTTTTAGTCATATCCAACTCTCCATGATCTCATTTGGGGTTTTCTTGGAAAAGATACTGAAGTAGTTTGCCATTTCCTTCTCCAACTCATTTTACAGATGAGGAAATTGAAGCAAACAGGGTTAAGTTAAACTGAGGCAGACAGGGTTAAGTGGGCAGGGTCACACAGCTAGTAAATGTTTGAGGCCAGTTTTGAACACAAGAATGAGTCTTCCTAGGAGCAGCTAGGTGGTACAGTGGATACAGCACAGGCCCTGGAGTCAGGAAGACCTGAGTTCAAATCTGGTCTCAGACCAGACACTTGATACTTACTAGCTGTGTGACTCTGGGCAAGTCACTTAACCCCAATTGCCTCACAGGAAAAAAAAAAAAAAAGAATTAGTTTTCCTGACTCCAGGACCAGCACTCTCTCTAGCTGCCCTAGATATCATAGAGAGTGGCCACAATATAGGAAGACAAAGAGCAGTAGAGATGCCCAAGAAAATCATAGGAGATCAAATCCAAGAAAGGAGTTGGAAATAAAACTATGGATCACTCCATTCCCATGCTATCCTTATCAGCCTTAGTTCACATTGATGGAGGGGTGCTTCAAAGGAAGTGGTAAACAATATCATTATAACAGGAGAGATTTCCAGTTGATATTAAAACTCAAAAGAAAAAATTATGATAAAATCCTTATAACACCTTTGCCTTGACTTTAGAAAATAAAAGTGAGAATTATTATTACAACTTTTCTACCCTATTTAAAGGAAGCCAACACCTTTGGTATCGTTCTGCTAAGAAGCAAGCTTCCTATAGCTATTAGTTTGGTACTGACACTTGACAAGGTAAAGAACAACCTCAGGGTTTAATAATTTTGGCCCAGGCCCCATCAAGAAATGATGATCATAATGATCCTACTTATTTGGTTTTTTTGCTTCCTGTCATTAAGCACTCTCCCTCCAAGTTCCCATTTCCCTTAGGTGGCATTAAACAAACAAGCAAAGATTTGCATGGTTCACATTCTCAGAACTCACATAAATCTGTGCGAATCCTGAGTTTATTTTGCACATTTTCCTTTGCTGATTCTCTGCCTTGATGTCACAGGAGAAAGAAGAAGAGACAATGGAACTGAAGTGGAAATTGATGAACCGAGAGGAAGTTTCCCAAGTGAGAGGAGTTGTTCTGCAGAAAAGTACCTGTGAGTACTGGAATAAAATCTGGGACTTCCAAGCCAAACCTGATGATGTACTCATTTCTTCCTATCCTAAAGCAGGTATGTCTCTGGGATTGGGGAAATGAGAAATAGGAGACAGAACATTTGTCAGCTTTTCTCAAGTACATATTCTATAGCCCAAGGGAGAAAAAAAGGAACCTTTCTAAAATAAGATAGGGCTTGATGAGACCTAAGCTGTTAGCACAACTTGGAAAGGAAGAGAAATAGCAATTATTTGGTTACTATCAAATTATTCTTCCCTGATTGACTATAACTCTCCTTATAATGGTTGTTCCAAAGCTCTTCAATGTTCCCAAACCATCTCTACCCTCTTGTGTCTCAGAAGATAATCTCAGTTGTTATTTTACTAAGAAAACTAGGCTATCCTTGTGAAATCCACCACTTTCTCTTTTTCATACCTCAATATCCCTCTAAACCTTTTCCCATCCTCTCCTCCTTTGTGCCAATGTCTAAGAAAGAGGTGGCCCTTTCTTCTTTCTAAGGCCAACTTGTGCCCTTGATCCCATCCCCTCTGATCTTTTCTGGAAGCCTGACCCATTCATTTCCTCTCTCTCATCTTCAATATTTCCTTATTTTCTGCTGCCTAGCAGTATGCTTAGGTCTCCCGCATTCTTAAAACTTCATTTAAAATCCTCACTATCCCCTCCAAATATCATGTTTTATCTCTTGCCCCTTTCACTGCCAACCTCTAGAAAAAAAAATTATACTTGCTGGCTCCATTTCCTTACCACCTGTTTACTTCTTAAGTCTTTATAATCTGTTTTTTTTCTTTTACCACAATACCCTATTCTCCAGGATTATCAAATAATCCTTAAAATGCTAAATCCTGGGGCAGCTAGGTAGCACAGTGGATAGAGCACCGGCCCTGAAGTCAGGAGGACCTGAGTTCAAATCTGGCCTCAGATGAAACACTTGACACTTACTAGCTGTGTGACCCTGGGCAAGTCACTTAACCCCAATTGCCTAATAAATAAATGAATAAAATGCTAAATCCAGTGGCCATTTTTCAATCCATAACCCTCCTGACTTCTCTGCAGTTTTTGACACTGTTGGCTACCACACACCCATACTCTTTCCTTCCTTTGCTTCTATGACACTGCTCTCCCCTGATTTCTCCCCCTACCTGTTTGATTACTCTGTTTCTTTTGCTAAATGAATTATTTCCCAAGTCTTAGATCCTCTCTAAGGTTGTCCTGGGCCATTTTCTCTCTTTATACTGTCTTAGTGATTTCACCTACTCCCATATATACATACGTGCATATATATATATAATATATATATATATATGCACGTATGTATGTATGTAAATATTTCTCCTGAATTCCAGTCCTACACCACCAACTGCCTGCAAAACATCCTCCCTCTGAATCTTGATATGTGTAAAACTGAATCCATTTTCTTCTAACAACCCTTCTCCAAATTTTCTCGTTTACAATGAGGGCTCCACCATCCAACTAACCCCCAAGGTTTGTAAACTAGACTCTTTTCTCTTATCCTTCACATCTAATCAGTTGTCTGGTCCTATCAATTCTGCTTCCAAAATTCCTCTTGCCTTCCACCATCCCTTTTTCTAAATTCATAAACACATTTTCATCGCTTCTCAGATAGCTTCTCAGTTAGTCTATTGATTTCTGATCTCTTTTCTCTCTAATGCTCCACCTAGCCACCAAAAGAGGACAGATAGGATAGGATTTCATTGAAATGGGGAATTCCCTGAAGTAACTCACTCTTCCAATGCAAAGTAGGTAGCTCCTCAGAAATTTGAGATTTAAATTTACATAAGTGAAAATAATAATTTGGAGGACAAAACAAAGAGAAAGGCCTTAAGAATAATTGGACTTCTTGAAAATTGTGATAACAAAAATAATATGACTACTATTTCAAGGAACAGAGCAGGGAAATTTTCAGGAAATGACAGAAAACATCTACATATTGTAAATTGAAAATAAAAATGAATATGAGGAAATCCTGATTTTTCTTACCTACAATATTATATATATATATATGTGTGTGTGTGTATATATATATATATAATTAATAGTATGAAGACAAGAAGAGAAATTTTGAAGCAGCTAAGAAAAAAGTATTTTGTAGCAAAAAGCATTAATTACAGATAGAACCTGGTTTATCCTCCTACTGCCATTATAATAGCAATAATTTTCACATTTACGTAACACATTAAGGTTTACAAAACATTCCTGTAATAGAAGGGAAACTTCTTAAAGTTGGAAATCATTTCATTTTTGTCACTTTTTTTTAGTACTTAGCACAGTACTTTTCATGAAGCAAGCACATAATAATAACTGCTTATTGAATTGAATTGAAAAGAGAATTACAAATTATCAATAACTTCATGAGAAAGTATTTAGTTGTTTTGGAAATTAGGGAAATGTAAATCTAAAAAACTTCAATATAACAAGTGGCATGTATATAATGCCTTCTTATTTTCAAAGTGCTTTCTCTTTGATATCTCATTTGAACCACAACAATTCTGTAGAAGTATTTCCTACAGGTATATTTCTCCCCATATTATAGATGAGAAAACTAACTTGTCTTTGGTCAAATATTTGTGTGTATCAAGGCTGAGATTTGGACCCAGATGTTCCTGACTCTAAATCTACCACTCTATCTATTCAACCATGCTTCCTTTACATCTTCTACATGTTACTTAAGAAAAGACGATTTCAAATGAAATTCATAGGCATGCTAAGACATTACTGGATGAATTGTTCAATATCAGGCATCTTTTTGGAAAGCAATGTGTGTATATCTATTTCTATCAATATCTTCTTCCTCTCTTCTCTCTGTTTCATTCTCTCTTTCCCTTTGACCCAGTAATTCCATCACTAGAAGAAATATGCTATTGTGAAGAAAAAGTAATTGGTACAAAAATACCTTTGTCAGCATTTTTGTAAATGCAAAAATATGAAAATGACCTTACTGTCTAATGATCAGGAAGTATCTGAGCAAATTGTGATATATGAATGAAGTATAATATTATTATACCATGAAGAATGACAAATATCCACATTAAGAAATGTTGGAGTGGGGGGGGACTTACTTGAAGTGATACAGAGTGAAGAAATTGGAACCAAAAGAAGAATATATGCACTGACTAAAACTATGTAAAATATCAAACCAATGGCAATAAAATAAATCTGAAGAAAATACAAAAAACAGTGGGTAATGAGAAGGGAACATAAATAAAACAAAAACCTGATGGAAGAAATAATAATACTAATCATATACTCTGAGTTTTAGGTTCAAATCTGCCAGAAACCAATTTATTTAACATATATCAGAGGGACAGAGACAGAGACAGAGAGAGATTCAAAGTGGCATAGCCTCCATGTGCTCCAACATGGTTTTCTGCCCTAAGACAATTTTAGGTAACATATAAATCTTGAACAAGGAAAAGATCATATATATGTTAAAATACAAATTTGACTCCAGAATAGTCATTACTTAGTTCCTAACTAGACCATTTCCCCTCAAGGGTTCCTGTCTGTGAGTGGTATCTTGAATTTCTAAAGAGAAGACAGTGTCTTCAGATGAGATAGTAATGACTTCATGGAGTGGGGAGTCAATGATACCATTTAGAGAAGAGTTAAGTTTAGTTTAAAATCTTTACTCCATTTTAAAAGAAAGTTCTAGCCTTTGTTCTTCCAATTTTCCCAAGGGAAAAGTCTGGAAATAGTTTTAGGCTGGAGGAATTTTTGTTGTTCAATCGTTTCAGTCATATGTGACTCTTCATGACTCCATTTGGAGTTTTCTTGGCAAAAATATTGGAGTGGCTTGCCATTTCTTCTCCAACTCATTTTACAGATGAAGAAACTGAGTCAAATACAGTTAAGTGACCTGCTGAGGGTCATATAAATAGTAAGTATCCGAGGTCATATTTGAACTCAAGAAGATATCTTCCTGACTCCAGGTCCAGCATTCTATCCACTGCACTACCTAGCTACCCACAGGCTGGAAATAATATTTCTAAAGACACTAAAAATATAGTTAAAAAAATTCTTCCACAAGATCAATTTTACACTGTATTACTTTTATAAGAGAGGTTGTTGCTAGTTCATGTATACTTGAAGTCAGGAATGTGACTAAGAAGGAAGAAAATGGCCTTGTCCCTTGAACTAGTTTTGTTCCTGTGCTTTCCAAACTCATTCATTTTCATGGGACACCAAACAAGTCTTGGGATTGAGAATTGCAAACTTGAAGTCTGCAAACTGGCAAAGATGAACAAAGATTGGAGGGGTTTTAGAAAGATAGACACACTGATACCCTGTTGGAACTGTGAAATTGGTTCAACCATTCTAGAAGGCAATTTGGAATTGTGTTAAGGAAGTGACTAAGATGCCCATACCTTGGACCCAGAGATCCCATAGTTACATATATACTCCATGGAAGTAAAAGATAAAATGAAGGATCCCATGTACACCAAAATATTTATAGCAGCACTTTTTGTAGTAGGAAAAGTTGAAATAAAGTAGATGCCCATTGATTGGGAAATGATTAAATACATTGTGGTATACTAATAGAATGGAACATCATTACAGTGTAAGAAACAATGAATATGAAAAATATGGAAAAGAATGAGAAGACTTATGAACTGATACAGACTGAAAAAAAAAAAGGACCAGGAAAACTATACATAATGACTGCAGTAATGTAAATGAACAAAAAAAATATTGAAAGAGCTTGGCCCTGAAGAGGAGAATCTTCCTTCTAGCATTTATGTAACTAACACTTTAGAATTTATAAAAACAATGAAATTAGCTTCATAAATATTATCTCACTTGATCCTCACAACAACAATGGGAGCTATTATTATCCCCACTTTAGATGAGGAAATCAAGGCAGAGAGAGATTAAGTAACTTGCCCAGGATCACATAGGTAGTAAGTGTTTGAGGCTGTATTTGAACTTAGGGTTTCCTGACCAGTTCCAACCCACTATCCATAGAGCCACCTAACATTTTTTTGTATAGTGTAGTGTTTCTACTTGTTGATTAAATTTTTAATAAGCATGCTTAAAATG